GCGTCGGCGGGCATCGGGGCGGCCGTGGCGCGCGCGCTGGTGCGGCGCGGGATGCGCGTGGTGGGCTGCGCGCGGAGCGTGGAGAAGCTCGAGGTGCGCGGGGCGCGCGGGAGCGGGTGGGGGAGCCCCGGGGGGGCGGGAAGCCGGGGCGGGGGGGCGTGGCTGTGCTTCGGGAGAGCCCCCTTCGCTGCCCTCCAGAGGGGGGAGACCCCGCTCGGCAGGGCGCCCCCCGCGCCCCCTCCCCGCCCTGGCCATCCCTTCTTCCCGCGGACGATGCCCGAGCGCGCGCGCGCCCTGGTAGATCCCGGGAACGGGGACGTGTCGGATGGACGGACGGCTGGCGAAGCCGCGCGGAAGGGGACCGGCACGGACCTGGGGAAGGGTCGGGCCGGGCGTGTGGGCTGGAGAGCGCGCGCGGAAGTGCCCCTTTTCCGCTCCTTGGGCGGAGGGGGAGACCCCCGGAGCGCCTCCTCCCTTTGCTCCGTGGAGTGGGGTGGTTGGGGCTCAAGAGATCGCACGCCCCCCTTTTCGTCCCCATAGTGAGCTTCCAGGGAGACCGCGTGCGGTAGGCAGTTTGAAAGCCACGCTGCCTTCCTTAGCTCTTCCGGGGGGGCTTTTTTGCACGTGCATCGAGCCCCTGCCCGTGTGAAGAAGGCTGGGTCATGAATGCTTAGACTGAAAATTTATTTCCCGGCAAAGGTTCTCCAACGGGCGCTGCAATGGGAGATGCGTTCTCCTTGCAGATCAGCAGCTTTTCTCAGATGGCGTCCTGTAGGACGTGGTGGTGACCTAAAGAAATGTGAAAGCCGCCTTTAAAGACTTTCAGTTTGGCCATTTCCCCCCTCGGACTGTTCGCTCTTGTTGGGAAGCCGATTCCAATGCCCAGAAGGACAGTACAGGAGGGTGGTCCTCCTGAAGCATAGAGTTTTCCCCATGAAGGCTGGGCCCATCTAGCCTGCGTCTATGGTCATTGGTCACCTCCCCCATTGCCAGAGCAGGGGGGGCAGCATCTTCAGGACTCCAGCCAGAAATCGTTGTTGCTTGGAGGGTAAATGATCAGGAGGGCAAAGCATCATGGAGACGCAGGCAGGCCTCTGCATCTCTCGTTCCGACTGGCTCCTTCTCCCTGCTGTCAGCCTGGTTTAGATGCCATTGTAAGCCCGGGGGAGTTGGCAACTCCAGTTGCTTGCCCTCTGCAGCCCTTCTTTGGCCCTGGAGCTAACTGTAGTGCTGAACTCCAGCCCCCTAAGAGCTTCGCCCACGGATGGCTCCTTTCAAAACTGAATAAAAGCTGGAATGGACTCGCCACGGAGCAAGCCCTTCACTCGCTCCCTGCTCCGTCCAGCGCAGGCCTGAAAGGAGCCTGGAAACCTTTGCTTCACGTTCAGCTCATCCCAAGATGACGAATGGCTATATCCGTCCCCTTGAGACGAGCCACCTTTAAGCCGTGGATTGTGACCCTGGATGGCTTCAACAAACCATGGTTCAGATGAGCCACAGAGCTGGGCTTGTGTGACAGGCTAAGCTGCATCTCGCTGAGAATCGCGGCAAAAGCTTCCGATGTCCCCGTGACGGGGAAGGTGAGAGTTTCTGAGCTCAGCGCAGCTTGCTGAGTTTTGATCTCGGTGCAGGAAACAGGTTGTCTAAATGGGGCCTTCATCTGTGGTCCCCACCTCTAGTTAAGGGCTTTTTTCTTGGGCCTAGATACCCGTCTCTGCTCTCTGTACATGCTCCGATCTCCTGCGGGCACAAGTTGCCATTACTACAGGTGGGACTACCTTTGGCCTTCAGCTGTGTGATTCAAGGCTTGTTCTAACCCTAAATCGCCAATGCAGCTGGTCCCCGTGGCAGAAACAAAATGCGAGGCAATCCGTGTTGCGATGTCTTCTACTTCATGTGTGTAAGAGAGAGAGGGAGAGACTGATTTCTGAAGGAAAACAGCGTTATTTTCGGTGATCAGCTGGGAGGGATCAATGGAAATCCAGTTTGGAGACCATTACAGGCTCTGGCTCAAAGGGAAGGGAAGGAAAGAGAATTCATTTCGGCCCCTACTCAAAATCTTCCTGGAAACATTTTGCTAAAGACATCCCTGGATGCAGTGGGCCCTGGTCCGTCACCAATCATTCTGCGCTTTCTCAGCTTTTGAGCATTTTTCTTCCACTCCAAAACACTGGAGTGTTTCTCCAGAAGTTCAGCCACTGGCAGCAAGAGCTGTAAGCGAAAAGGTGCTGACTTTTTAAAACTCTCTTTTCTTTTTGACCTTTGGCCTCACCGGCAATGGAAGGGCTTGAAGCTGTGTGGCAGCTCTGTATTAGATTTTAGTAGCAGAATTCTGTCAGGGTTTTAAGAATCATTTTTTAGTGGCCTGGCAGTATATATGAAGGTTTTGGAAGATGAATTATGACCTGTGTGTGTGTTGGATTTTCTACAGCCCTTGGTGGACAGCCAAGGAGGTTCTTAGTTCCTTTCAGCTTGGAGAAGGTCGAGCTAAGGCATGTGGGGGTTTTTGTTTGTCTAAATCTCCAGGAAAAAATCAGATAAGACTTTGAGGGCAAAGTTTGCCCCGGACTCAAAGGTTTGTGGGATGGGGGCTTGCAACCCATTCCGTGCTTTATTTGTGTTTGGAGGCCAGGCCTGTGCAGAATGGGGCAATTGTCCCTGAGGTAAATATTGGGATTCCCTTCACAGGGGTATGTGTGTAAAAACAGAGGCTGTAAAAAGGTGGAATTTGCTGCTTCAGGATTAGCACAATGGCTCCCGACTCTGATGACTTTAAAAAGGGAGGAGACCCACAAGGGTAAGATGACTGGAGCAGTCAGAAAATGACATTGCTCCTTTCCCCGGCCCCAGCCAGCCATACCCTTTGTAGGTTACTCCATTCCGTCCTTGTAGTTTTCCATTCCTTGCCACAGGCAGGTACAGGTTGTGCATTGCTTTTACTGGGTTGTTGTGGCGTTTCCTTCCCTTGGCGTTTCTTCCTCATTGAAGCTTTCCCTCACCAACGTGGGGAGCTCCATATTTAGCCTGTGATACCGTGTGAGCCAAAGGGCACAGGATCATAAACGGGCTGGTGATAGCGATGGATCAAAGGTGCCATTTATTAGAATGGCTGGCGCTGTTGGGCTTGCTCGAGAGGAGAACTGGGACAAAGGGCATCGCTGATTCGGAGTTTGAGGAGGCTGGATCGCTCCGCGGGGGAAGGGGAGGCATGGGTACGCCAGGAAGGTGGGCGAAAGAGCTGACTGAGGGGCTGTGGAAATTCACCCATCCATTTTTGATTTATTCGTTGATTTAAAACTTTTCTATACCGTCCCGTCACAGACGTCTGGGGACAGTTTGCAACACCATTAAAAAAATAGAATCAAAATAGAAATAATAGGATCCGATGTTGAGTATGAAACCACCAATGAAAACACATTAGCAATTGAAATACTGGGAGACTAAAAAGGTGTTCGACTGGCACTGAAAGGGAAGGCGTGTTGGTGCCAGGCGGCCCTCCCTGGGGAGCGTGTTCCACAGTCGGGGTGCCACCGCAGAGAAGGCCCTCCGGGGAGTCGCCCTCGAAACGATCCGTGCAGAGGGTCCCTCTCTCGATGCATGAGATGCTGCCACCTGATCGAAGAATGCCCTCTTTCGGGCCGAGGACCCTTCCAGAGGGTCCGCTCCGCGTGGGAGGGAACCTCGCTGCCTTCTGCAGCCGCTTCCTGCCCGGAGAAAACGGTGTCTGCTGACATCTTGGGCGTTCCCTTCTTAGCGCACTGTCCAGGTCCCGTTTTGCTCTCGGCGCGCACACCCAGGCGACTGTGGGCGTGATCAGCGGGTGCTGTAATCCTCTCTCAAGGTCCTCTTCCTTGGGTTGGGCTGGGCTTTGGGGATAAGACTCCTCCGGAGCGAGAGAAAATGAGGCCTGGCATTCCCTCCCCCGGTGCTAACCGTCTTCCCTGCCTCCACTACGCCGATCGCCCTTGGTGATTTCCTGCCATTTGTACAGACGCTCCAGAGCCTGAAATGCCTCTTGCAAAGCACAGGGAGAGCTCACTGAAGAGGCTGTGCTGGTATTTTTGGCCCTGCCGCTCTGAATTTGCCCCTCACGTCGTTGCAGGGCAGCTGCGGGGCCATCTCCGACCTTGAGATATCAGGAACCAGACCTGAGGTCCTTGAGCATATAAATGTGGTGCTCCGCCCCGAGCTACAACCCTCTCCCTCAAAACTGAAGTGGGATTCTAGTCCTCATGGTTGTGACTAAAGGGTTGCTTTCAACAGGAGCTGCAAGTCAGGCCCTTCGTCTCATCTAGCCCAGTATTGTCAACACGGACTGGCAGCAACGGCTCTCCAGGGTTCCAGGCAGCCCAGAGACACTTTGGAAGTGGGTGCCGCTGTGCCACAATCCCTTTGTGTCGCCTCCTCAAACTGCCTGTCCAAACTCTGAAGTCCTAGGAATGCACACGGAACCTCAACTGCAACGCAACAGAAAGGGAGCGTGTCAAAATAAGTAAAGTGGACAACTTAAGCGCTTGCATGTTCAGCTAGTTAACCAAGGCCAAATCCTGCACCCAACGGGCTGGCACTTCTGGACACGCTGTTGCTGCTTGGCCCCAATCCTAGCAGTGCCATTGTCAGTCTCCGTTACAAGATAAAAACAACCGGTTCACTTCCATCTGCCATCGCACACACACAAACACACCCTCCAGTTCACAATCTAAATGGCTTACAGTGCTGAACCTTCTCCCTCCATGGAAAGACTCTGATCCGTGCAAATTGTGGTTTGAACGTTCATTTCTCCCGCTGGGCTTCATCGTGGCAGTGAACCTTCCGTCTGTCTGGGGTGATGTTTGGGGCACAGGACAAAAGCTTGTCTCCACCACCGCAGCACGGATCTCTCCACCGTCGCTGGCGGATTCCCCGCCCGCCCTCCCAAAACTCTTTGATGCTAACGAGAAGGAACATCTTGTCTCTGACACATCGCTGGAGACGGGGCGAGCTTTCCAAATCGGAGTGCGGCGGGCCGCAAAGATCAGCAACAACTTCTTTGCGAGTGGATTGTGATGGGGACAGTAATATGAAGCAGCGTCATGCGTCCCCTGCGATGAGGGCCGAGTTGAATCAGCAGAAGGCGCCTTTCCTTTCTGTTGCGGTGGAACATGGTCCGGAGCAGCGGACTGAGGACCCTTTCGCCTCTTTCCCTCGGCTCACATTTAGAATTATGCTTCTGGGCATTTGCGCGGGCCCTCCGTAAGGATAGGTTTTTCCGTCTCGGTCTTTGAGGTCTACACACCATTCTCGTACCAGCTTGCAACGGCATTACCAAAGAAGTAAATTAATCCATGTAGAAAGAAGGGCTCCTTTTGCGTGCGAGATTTCTTGCGCGTGCCACCGTGGGAGCTTTCGGAAAGGGATGCCTGCTCTCCCTTGTGTTGTGACGGTTGTGCGCTTTTGAGCACACGTTTCCCAGTGCTTCCCTTTTCTGCGCGATTCCCCCTGGTGGGAGTGTCATGCGCCTTTCCCTGAGATGCGCTGCATCAGGAAGTGTGTGAAACCGCAGACAGCTGAGCTGAATAAATGGGATACATCCATCCAGGGAACTCCGTGGAACGGACGGCTTGCCCATCCCGAGTCTTGCTAAACCTTTCAAGACCCTCCCCTTCGGGGGTGTTTGGTGGCGACGTGAGAGGGGATCACCTGAGCTATGGAAGGAAGGAACAAAAATTCAGGGGGGGAATCTCCTTTTCGTGAGAATTTTGGGAAAAGTGGGGGCCAGGAGAGGTTTGGGGGTGCATTATCTGTTTTGCCCCATCTTCTGCAACATTTCGCATCTCCAGGTTCCCCATGCCAGGTCGCGCGCCTCTTCGCCAACCTTCTGCGGACGGATGGCCCAGCCTCTTTTATGGTAGAAAAGCCTTTTCTTCTGATGTTATATCTTGGATTGTCTTTTAATGCGTTGCTGCATTTCTGTTTTCCGCAGCTGCATTTCTGTTTTTCTGGCTGGGAGCAAACTAAACAGGACGAATCCACGATCCTTTCTTAATGGCAAGAATAAGAGTATTTCCTTGTTATTCCGCCAGTGAAGAAACGATCCATGCCGGCTTCTCCCCGCATGTTCCCCCTTCGGCTCATGTGCCGCCGTGTGTGTCTGTCTTTGCAGAAACTGGCGGCTGAATGCGAGAGTGCAGGCTACCCGGGAGTCCTCGTCCCCTACAAGTGCGACCTCTCCATGGAGGAGGAGATCATGTCCATGTTTTCGGCCATCAAGACGCTCCACAAGGGGGTGGACGTTTGCATCAACAACGCCGGCCTAGCGCGGCCGGAGCCGCTGCTCTCCGGCAGGACGGAGGGCTGGCGGAGCATGATAGACGTGAGTCCGCCGGGCCGGCTCGGCCAGAGCAGGCGGGGCGGGGGCTGATGGGATGCGGGGCCTGCTCCGCATGAAGTCGGATGTGTCAGGGCTGTACCACACGTGTCAGGGCTGTACCGCATCGAGCCGCAGGTCAGGGCTTGCGCAGGGTGGGGTGTTTCCCAAGAGCAGCCTTGCTGGGATGGACAAGGGGATTTTGTGGGAGCCGGCAAAGTGGGGAGGATGCCCCACGGCCCCGTGTGGGGTACCTGTGCTGCGCTGGCTGGATCAGGCTCATGATTGTGCCTCATGATGGGGAGGTTCAAAGGGAAGTGGATAAAGGGATGAGGATTAAAGGCGCACCTTTACCAGGTGGGGATGGAATGGGGATCGTTGCTGATGCGAGGGTTATCCAGTGGTCCGAACCAGGCCAAGAGAACAAGCCGTGGGGAAAAATGCACAGTTCACAGCTCAGTAACAAACCATGGCTCCTCTTCATGGGTTGATTGTGGGTAACAAACCATGGTTTGTTAGTGCAGCTGGGTTCAGACAGCACAATAACCCGGGCTTCAGCAACAACCCAAACTCGATACATTTTCAGCCCCTGTTGTGTGGTCTGAACCCTGCTGAAAGAAGAAGCCACGTGAACAGCCCATCATGGCTTGTTGTCAGGTTGTGGGCCGCCTGTGGCTTGTGCACATTACACAAGAGGAGCGCCCGCCCTGCTCTCCCGAGTTGCTCAGGCACGCGCCGCCTTCTCAGAAGGTTCTGGGGCAGAGGCCTGGTTCCTTCGGGTCTTCCTGGGGAACGGCCACTTCCCGTCCCTTTCCAAGGCCTCCCGTTGGCCTCTCAACCCGCTGCCCTTGTCACAGGTGGAAACCCGAGCCGAGACCCGGTGGCATTCCCGCGTTTTACCGGCAGTTTCTGCTTCCCTCTTCCCCCCACTCCTTCAGGTCAACATGCTGGCCATGAGCATCTGCACCCGCGAAGCATATCAGTCCATGAAGGAGCGAAACGTTGACGACGGACACATCATTAACGTCAGCAGGTGGGAGAGGCCGAGTCCTGGAAAGACCAGGAAGGCGCGGTGGAAACCTGATGCGGCCGTATGCATCGGGCAGCTCCGTCATCTCAGAAGCTTCCTTGGAAATGGGAGTCGGAGTCCCACCACACCTGGGGGGCACCCATTGCAGACGTATGTCTCAGAAGTCGAGTTTGCCTGGTGATCGTCCTGCAACCGGGATGTCTCTCTCTCGCTTCCCCTCCCTAGCGTGAACGGCCACGTCATGGCCCCTCAGTCCATCATGCATTTCTACAGTGCCACGAAACACGCGGTCACGGCCTTGACGGAAGGACTCCGGCAGGAGCTCCGAGAGGCGAAGACACACATCCGTGCCACGGTGAGTCTGGCTCGCGGGGCGGGGCGGGGCGGAAACACCTGTGCCGAAGGGCCCTGGCCGGGCCCGGCTTCTCCGGGCAGGGCTGGGAAAAGCCTGCCGTTAGCACCACGGGGCGATGGCTGCCAGCCAGTGTCGGCACCACTGGGTCAGACGCTCTGAAATGGCAAGAGGCCGTTTCCCAGCTTCGCGCGTGCTTATGGCCACCGTGGCTGGCATGCAGAACCGCTGCCTCTCCGGGGGCTGCATTCCGGTCCCCGAAGCTCTGGGGGCCATGTCCATGGGGCAGTGAGCCGTGGCACCCATGAGCCCCTCCAGCCCTGCCCACGAAGTTCTCCGGCCCCTGCCCCCTCCAAAAAGGGTTTGAAAAGCATCCTTGGAAATGTTCGGACTGTCCGCTCGCTCTCCTTCAGGCCCTCTGCCTTGCTTTCTCCTCCCTCCCAGCCTCCGTTTCTCTCCCCACCTCTTCAACTTGCGGATTTTAATCCTCTTGCACTCCAGTCCAGCCTCACCCTTTCTTACCCTGATCCCGATTCAGCCCGGCCCCATGCATTGACTTGCCAAATCCCGCATGGGAGCCTCTTCCAACGAGCTAGTGGATCCCTCCCTTACAGCAACCTCCCCAACTCGGTGCTTTTCAGATGGATGACAGTTCCCATTTTCCCCAGCCAGCCCAGCCACAGTTCAGCGCCTCTGGCTGGACAAGTTTGCCTCAGGGCGAGTCACAAAGCTGCATCGATTCTCAGCAATCGCAGGGTTTCCTGGGGACATTTCCCCCTTTTGCATCGCTCATATTCCGCACTGCTCATCTTTTATTTTCCTTGTGGGTTTTGTGATAACAGCAAGAGCCCTTCTCTTCCGCTGTCCCCACTTTCCCCTCCTTAGTGTATCTCTCCAGGACTGGTGGAAACCGAGTTCACTTTTAAGCTGCACGATAACGATCCGGAGAGAGCTGCAGCCACCTACGAAAGCATCAAGGTAGGCGACCGACCGAGCGGGAGCATCTTGGGGAACGGACCCCAGTGCCATATCCCCACCATACAGGCCAGCCTTCCCCAAACCGCTTCCTTCCCAAGGCTTGGAACGTCAGCTCCCATCACCCCCAGCCACCGATTGTGCTGGCCCGCCCGCCCATGGGGCCTCTTGTCCTCCCACCGTCTGGGGGACATCAGGTTGGAGAAGGGCCTTCTTGGCCTTGAGGGAGATCCTCACAGCTCTTCCAGACCGAGCTTCTTCAGCCTGGTCCCCTCCAGATAGTTAGGACCAACTCCTTCCCCTGCGTTGTTGGCCTTGTTGGCTGGGGTTGCTGGGACCTGTTGACCCAAAGCGCCTGTAGGAACACATCAAAGGTTTGAGAACGAGGCCTAAAACTTTGGTGTGGGAACAGAGTGGAAGGACTTGAGTGCTGGCCGAAAGCTGCGTCTCTTGGTGAGCCCAGAACTAATGCCCGGTACTTTGTTTCTGGCTCTCTCTGCAGTGTTTAAGCGCCGAAGATTTGGCCAGTGCCGTAATTTATGTTCTCAGTGCTCCCCCTCACGTGCAGGTAGGTTGGAAGTGTGCCTGTGTTCTTGCGTCACGGAGGGCGGAAAGAGGAAGGTCCGTCCTCCTCCAGGCCCTGAGCGGCCCCGTCTGCTGGGTGTACGCAGAGGAGAGAGAACGGGCTGCAGGTGGATTCGCTTCGTTGTGGGTGTGTGGTGCCCCCTGGCTTGTGGGTCCTGGGAGCCGCAGGGAGTCCCAGGGCAGGCTGTGGGCCCTTCCGGCCGGGCCACAAGGAAGAAGCAGCCGGTGGCCAAGCAGCCAAAGAGCAGGCCCAGAAAGGGCCCCGGCCAGGGGATGGGCAGGCTCCTCCTCACCTGGATTCAACATGGGTCCTTTCCTGAGCCCCCTCAGAGCCTTTTTGGGGTGCAGCCGGAGCCTTTGCGGGGAACGGTTCTGCAGCTCTTGCAAAGACCTGGCCCAGGCGTTCCTTCCAGTCCTCGGCGGGTGCCTGGACACCCCTCACCCCACCCAGACACCCAGGGGGTGCCTCACAGCAGCTCATGGGTCCCACTGGAAGCAGAGTCTCGGAAGGGAGGGCCCTTGCCGTTCCATGATTGGCGGGGTGCCCCCCAAAAGCTGCCCCACTGATGCCCGAGGCGCATTCTGCAAGGGCTACAGAAAGACCCGGGTTCGAGGGGCAGGCCCTCCCTCCGGGCCATCTCCTTGACAGCAGCTTTCAGCTGGAGGCTGAAGACGTTGCTTAGACGCCCCGTAACTCCACACTTGGACTTTGATTGGTTCTAATCAGCTGCCCTTTGTTGATTTTACTGCTCTCAACCCGCCCTGGTTTTTATCACAGCGTAGATTCTGCTTTCAGGGTTAAGTACTCTATTTATAGCCTGCCTTTCTGCCAGGAAGCTCAGGGCACCGCATGCTTCCCTTCCCCGCTCCAGCTTTGTCCTCACAGCAACCCTGCAAGGTAGGCTAGTTGGAGAGCTTGCAGCCAGCTGGCCCGAGGCGTGTGGGCCCAAGGCCGCCGAGGGAGCCATGGGGGTCGGCCTCCGCTCCCTCCTTCGCAGCCTGACCCTTCCCCTGCCACCAGAATCCCCCTTTGAGGGCTGCGATTTGGGACCGAACAAGCTGCTGCCTCCAGAGGCAATTAGCGCCTGCAGAACTGGCTGTCGGTGAGTCCCGAGCGGTCAGGACAATCCGGAAGAGTGTTCCCGGAGCCTGAGCTCAAAGGGATCTGCCCGTCACCTCTCCCCGCAGCACTCCAGGTCCAGGGAAGCTGGAAAACCTCTGGCATTTTGCCGCGTGGTCCCCAACCGCCTCGGCTGCGGAGTGGCATAATAAAGGAAAAAATAGAAGACTTATCTCCTTAAAAGATGCTTTAATACTTGGTTCCTCCCGTGCCACTATGGCCTGTTGGCTTACTTAATGTATTGGAATTTTATATTTGCATTAATGTATAGACTAATTGGGTTTCACCGCTTCAAAGTTTTATTATTGGCATTTTATATTTGCACTAATTTAGAGACGAATTGGGTTTTACTGTTTTAAAGCTTTATCGCTGCATTTTAATATTGTGAGTTTTAGGATGTGTTATTTTAGAAGGGTGAGCCGACTAGGGATGCCGTTGGTGGAATAGGCGGCATATAAATATTTTAAATAAAGGACGAAAGGCAACCGGGCACCGCACCGGCGGGGTTGGGGGTGGCTTTTAGGAGTTGCTGTTGGCCCGCTGGCCCTGGCAGGGAAACTCGCTGATTAACTGCATTGCCAGGCCTGGCCCCCTTGCAAGAAACAGCCGTGCGGTCTTGCCGCAGCTCTCTTTGGCTCTGCCCAGAATCGGTAAAGGTGAAGAGGACTAGGACCTTTGTTAGTGCAAACAGCTGCTCTGGACTGCTGATACGGCTGTGAAACATCTGGAGAGGAGCGAGGTAACCTTGCAAAATCCTAGGGCCATTTGTGCTTCCCCATAGGTGCCCAAAACAGGAGGAATAAAATTAGCAAAAGAAAATGGCATCCATCACTGCTACGGCGTGTCAGAAGGGTCAATATTAGCTTCTCTGCAAACTAATGTCGACCTCTTGGGTGCTCCTGGCACCTCCAGGTGCCATGTTTGGCAAAAAAGAGGTTGTATAATTTTTGGGGGAGGTTACCCTTAATTTCATGATTTGAGAGCCACCCCTAAATTGGTTGCTTCAGGCGGCCCAGGGCGTATCAGGGGCACCCCAAATAGACATCCCAGTGGAAGACGGCCATTTCCTTCCAGCGCTCAAAGTCCACCCTTCTTCCTCTTTATGGCGCTTGCCGCTCAGGGGCTGAAACGTTTAATTGCCTTTTAGATCGGTGACATTCAGCTGAGGCCGACGGAGCAAGTTTCGTAGCCCAGGAGGCGGACGTGAGCTCAGCGGGGGGTGTGGGGAGCGCCCTTCAGCCCCACGGCTTTCCTTCGGTCGACTGGCGACATTCCCAAGGGCCCCACTTAAGGATGTACGCTGCCCCTCGCTAGCCTCCCCCGCAGCTCTCCGTTTGGTGGGAACGGAAGTGGAAGGCAACTGGCCCTGGGAACCCCAAGCCCCCTGCCTTCCACTCCTGAACCGATTTGGGGAAAAGCTGATTCCATCTCTGTGCAGCGGCAGCCACGTAGGCCATCCGTCTTTTCTGTCTGTCTGTCTTCCGGAGGATCACGCCCAGCTAACGTTTGGTGAAGGACGTACCCATCTTTTCCGAGCTGGAACGTTGGCACTGCAAACGTTGCCGACTCCGTCTCTCTTGCACCACCAGGACTGCCCCAAAGACAATTCTGCTCTGGCGTGGCCGACGCAAAAGATTTGCGATCTCGGTTCAAAAAACGCGGATCCCGTTTTGTCCTCCGCTCTTGAACACCTAAAGCAACTCTGAGCCTCAATCTACCAGTTTCCTTTTGCTTTTGTCGTCGTGACTTGCCCCCCAGAGCCAGTCTTGGGAATTATATATTGACGAATGTGCCGAAAATTTCGTCTGGCATCTCCTTTGGGAAGCTAAGAGGGAAATAACCATTTCCCCTTTGTGGTTAGTCAATCTGTGGATGCCCCCAGTGCCTTTAGGATCACCATGTTGGGCCCATAATTTGGTGATAGCCTCAACTTCAGTTCATATGAAGTTTGGGTTGGGGGTTGAAAACACCATTTTGTGGAGAAATGCAAGTGTTTGTGTTAAGTGTAAGACCCTTTTTTAAAAACACAAGCAAAACATCATAGTCTTGCAGTTTGGTGCAAGAAAGGGGCAGCACACAGTTGCCCTGTTCATTAGTTAAAAGTGTCTCATTTGTTAAAGAAGGTTCTAGTCCTCAGGCTTGCATGGATAATGTGATGATTTTGGTCCCTGGCTTAGTTCTTGGGCTCCTGAGCTTAAAGGGTTTTGATTTGGGAAACAATTGCTTCTGGGGACACCGAGTGGGAAGGTTTGCCATGGAAACTTCTGTGTGTTTCTGAGAACTGAATCCTTTGCAAGCATCTTTGTCCCTTGGGAGCTGCTGGGCACACCCAAAGCGCCAGGAAGGACCATGAGCCTGTTCAAAAAGCATCTTCTGGTGTGGACACAGATGGAAAATGCTTATTTCCGCCCGGGAGACACTGCCATGGAAAGGGTGGATTTCGGGAGGGGTCACACAGGTACAAGAGGGTAGGCTGACCCTCCCCAACTGTGATCACACTCGAAATCTCTCCACACAGGAGCTAAGCTCAGGAATCATCTCCCATTCGCAGGAATATCCTTTCCAAACACACCGCATCCCATGCCACAGCACCGGTGGGAGAAAGGCGTGGATGCATTTGGGCTGGAAAGTGGATTAGGCTGGGGGTGGGGTCTGATCTGCCCCAGAAATGCACAGGTGGACTCCTTCCAACACGCCTTTTGCAGTCTGGAGGGATTCTCCCACCGGGAGCTGGTCTGGACCTGGGACTTACCGCCAGGGCCGAGAAAAGCAGAAGCAAAGTAAAATAGCCGGGAATGCGCGAGGCGGGCAGGAGCAGCCCGTCCTCTGGCCGCTGGAAAACTTCCTTGCAAGACACTCGGATCCGGATCTCCGGGGTCCCGGCCCTGCCCTTCACCGCCCCCCCAGCGGGGATCTCCGAGAGCCGGTCCTGGAAACGGGCGCAGGGCTCGGAGGAGATGCAGAGAGGTGCTGGCCGGGCGAACCCAGAGAAGCGGCTTGGCCTGGGCCTCGCCGGGCACGTGCCCTGCGAAGGAAGCGCCGCGCAGCGAACGCGAGGCTTGGGCCCCGGCCCCGCTTCTCCTCCGGCCCGGGCTCCGAGGCAGGCGCAGCAGATCCGCCGAGGCCGCGAGCGGGAGCCCCGGTGCGGGGGCGCACGGTGGCCACGGGGGCAGGGAGGGCGCCTCGCTGGGGACGGGCCCGTGGCGCCCGCCAAAACCTGCAGGCAGCGCTGTTCACACGTGCACGCCGGCCAGCACAGGGGCCAGCACACGTTCACACGTGCACGCCGGCCAGCACAGGGGCCAGCACACGTTCACACGTGCACGCCAGCACAGGGGCAGCCCCACGCATGTTCCGAAGGAGACGCGCCCCGCGTGGCCCAGCCGGTCCGGGCAGGGAAAGAGGCCCGGGGCCCCCGCCGTGGGAGAACGGGGCGCCGGGCCCTTAAAACAAATAACGACAGAAATGAAGGCAGAGCGCTCCTCGCCTCGCCCCGCCCCGCCGCCTAACCGCGCATGCCTGGACCGAGCCTGGCCGCGCGGGCCGCTCTACGCGCGCCGGCCTCTATGGTGTGGCGCACTTCCGGTCCGGCGGGGCTTCCGGGACGCGGCCCACGTGGGCGCGGGCAGTTCGTGCCGGGTGCCCTGCCGCCGCCTCCGCCGCCTTGGCCAGGCCGCCTCCCGGGGCGGCTCCGCTCCCCCTCGTCGTCGCTTTTCACCGTGCCGGAAGGTCCAGCCGCCCTTCCTGGGAGGGAGTCCGAGCAGGTCCGGGGGGGGGGAGGTGCAGAGCCCCTGAGCTCGTGCAGAGTGCCTGTAGCTCCCCCGTGGTAAAGGCGGGCTGGGGTCGCGCTTGTTTCAAAAACTAATGGAGGCATGGTGTTATGGCAAGTACCACGGTGCTTTACCTCGCCCTTTTGGCAAGAGGCCGTGATGGCTTCTGCGGCGCTCCATGTTATGCTCACATCAACCTTGTGGGGTAGGCCAGGCTGAGCATCTGCGGCAGGCCCCAAGTCACCCCGGGAGCTTCGTGGCCGAGCGGGGATTAGAACCCGGGTCGTCCCAGCCCAGCGCTACCTGCGGCGACACACTGGCGCTTCTCTGAGCCTATTTGGATTCTTCTCAGCTTTGGGAAAAGCTTTGGCTAAGCTTTGGGGAAAGCAGGAGCCTGCCCCGCTCTCCTCAAGCCCCTTCCCCTCTCCTCTCCCCACCCTTTCCTACGTTTTGCTCCGCCCGATGATGGGCGCTGGTTGACGGAGAAGCTACCTCAATAGTTGGCGGCTCTTGGATCAGACCTTACAAAGCAGCTGGCCCTCAGGCACGCTTTCCAAAAGGCGTTGTGCTGCAGCTGTTGCCTTTCCCGTTGACCATGCTCAGGGGAAATCACGCACCACAGGGGCTTTTGTGGTGGTTAAGCGGGTTGGATTGCGATGTGGGGCGTCTCGATTCTAGCCCCCACTTGGCCGCGATGCTCATTAGGTTGTTGACTCTCAACCCGCTCGACCTTACAGGGTTGTTGTGGCGATAAAACGGAGAGGCAGAGGATCATGTAAGTGCCTTGAGTTCCTTGCAGGAGAAAAAAAGAAGTGTTATAAATGTAATAAATAAATTGCTCTTGCTTACAATTTACTTGGTTAAGCTATATGAAATACTGAGGGGGGCTTATTTCTAGCTAAGTATTCCAACCTTTCCAGTTCATTGAATTCAGTAAAGTCTTAAATTAATTTTCCTAGTCAGATACTTCTGCTCAAGATTCTTTTGCCTTTTAAAAACATTCAAAAGACATCTACAGCACATAAAATGAACAGGGTGCAATTAAAAAAAGTTGCTCTCTGCATACAAATCAAACATGCTCAGTCCAATCATGACTGATTTAAGTGACTGGAAAGTTTTCCAGAAAGGCCACATTGGTGCTTGTCAGGGAATGGGCCTCACTCTCAGCCCAATGACCAAATCAAATTTGGGGACATTTTTGACTGCCGCATTTCCACTGCGAATAGCTTTAATGGCAAATACTCCAGGTGCCAGTGAGATTTAGCATAAAGCTTTTGCTGCCAGTAACAGTCTTAGGAAAGGTATTTCCACCTTTTAGATTGGGAAGGTTAACAGCAGAGAAGCTGAGAAACCTTCCAGACAATTGGTGGAATGGCGAAAGGGGGCAGAGTGGGGGAAGAGGGTGGGGCTAGGATAATGTAGGTCCATCTGTGGAACCCTCAGGTTTGGGTTTGGGCCTGGGGTTCCCTATTCTTGCTGTGTTGGTTGATGTACTCCTCCTTTTTTCCAGTTACAGGTAAGGGGATGGCATCTCTCCAGTCCTTTACATTTGGCTTCTGCAGTGCCACGAGATTGTCATTCACAGTTCATCTGAGCAGCCGTTTTAGGACTGTTCCGCATTTCTCAACATGGGGAAAATCCCCGCCAGCAGAGCGTGAGCCACCTCACGAGGTGAACCAAACAGAAACGACTTCCTCACGGGTGGATTGTCAGTATCCCCAGAAACCACTTCCAGCTGAGAAAAGCTCTCCGGAGCAGAATCTGCGGAAGAAATTCTGGAGGATTTTTCGCACAAATGTCGCAGAGCCCAGCAAAGAGGAATTCAGGAGCTTGAGAAATGATGACTTTCCCCGAGAGAAGGGAAGGTCTGGGAAGAAAATACCTTCTCTCGAAAGGACAGAAGGCTCAGAGATCCTGTTTGGGATTTCTCCCTGTTTCTTAGCGCTGGAGAGGTCAAGGCGGAGCTTTTTCCAGATGTTTCTCAAGGCTAAGCGTGGGAGCACATCACCTGCGGTGGAGAAGTTTTCCCAGTATGCTGAGGAGCGTGGGATTCCCGTGAAGATGGTGAGGAGGACCGTTCTGGATTTGCTCTGCAAGCATGGCGTCCATCAAGGGGTTTGCCTGGAAGTCACGCCTCTTCGACCCATTGACTGGAAGGACGGGCTCTCCGATGAGGTGCCTTGCACAGAGTCACAATCCCTTTGGCTGGCTCTGGAGGGGATAAAGGACCCCATGAATCTTGGGGCAGTTCTGCGGTCTGCTCACTTCCTTGGTGTCGACGGGATTGTGATGACCCGGAGAAACAGGTCAGCTTGATAGAGGAATGCTTGGTTCTCTCACTAGCTCAGCTCCTGCAGGCAGTGGTCAGTTGCCAGAACTAGTAGCCACGGATCGTATTTTCCTCCAAGTTCTTTTAAAGCTACCCAAATTAGTGACCTTTGCAGCACTATCGTTTTATTTATTAAAAGGATAACAGACCTGTTTGTTTTCCATGTGCTCTTGTAGCCAAATCGGTTTTTCACATTGTTTTTATTTCTGTTTTGCAACATGCTCTGCGTCTACTTTTACGATTCACTGCCAAATATACTGTTTTTAGTTGTTTCCTATTTTATTTTTGTTTGCTTTACGGAGGGATTGTTGATTTTACTGTATTTTATGGCAAACTGCCCAGAGATCCCTCTGGGCTGTGGGGTGGTATATAAATGTAATCCATCCATCCATCCACAGATCAGAAACTTCCGTTTCAGATGCAGAGTACTGGGCTGCCAGTCTGAGGGTATTTTCTGGGGAGAAAATGCTGAACTTGGTGGGCCTTCCTTTTGAAGAAGCGTGTGTAGGTTTGTGTTGTTTAGGTTTGTGCAAGGCATTGTTAGCTGGCAGCTTCTTACAGGATTGTCTGGCAGTTTGGTAACTTCCCTCCCTCCTCCTCGGCTTCCCGTCTCACAGCTGCCCTCTGACACCGGTTGTAAGCAAAGCCAGCTCCGGCGCCATGGAAGTGCTGGATGTATTCCACACAGCCGATCTCCAAAGCTTTCTTAAGGTAAAGATTTTATTTATTTATTACTTATTAAAACATTTTTATGCCGCCCCATTCGCCGAAGCCTCGGGGCGGCTTACAACAATAACAAGATCTTTGAAGGTGACTGTGAATGGTCATTCCTTATTATTGAAAATTACTCATTACTGTTAATAACTGTCGAATCAAGGAATAGTAGAGTTGGAAGGGGCCATGAAGGCCATCTAGTCCAACCCCCTGCTGTTGTGGGACCCCACGTCACACCATTCCGCTCAGATAAAGCAACAATAATAAGCATTTCTAATAATAATTTATTAAGAGTAATCCATACAATGCTGAACTAACTAAGAATTATTTGATGATGGTGATGATGATGAGAATTCTGAGCTGTCCTGTGTTTACAAGGCAAACCTTTGTCCTGATCCAGCAGGATTCCTCTTATTCGTGTTTTTAAAAAAAGTTAAGTATTTTTATTTTGTGCATCTCAGTAGAAAAGCTGACCAGAGCAGTGGCTGCAGCATCCATTAAACAAGAGCATTCTTCTAGGCTGAAAAGTCACAACACGCAAGGAAAACGCAATGGGAGGGTAGAGGGGGAAAGCATTAAGTCATTCGGCAAGGTTGGGGAATGCCCTCCACTTCCTTCCTCTGTTCCCTGATTGTGTCCACATGATGCATCATTTGTGGTTAATGCACAGGGTGAGAGCAGTTCCCTCACTGGGAAAGCTGCTGCTTGGCTTCTAAGGTCATGGGTTCAAACCTCAGCTTCTCCTGATAGGGCGGGAAAACCCTCTACCCAATTTCCTGGAGAGCAATCGCTGTCTGCCAGTTTTGGTCATACTGGGCTACATGGATGCTGTAGGGACTGAGCCCGCGTCTTCCAAAACGTAGCCTTCCAAAGGGGCTACCCCTGAATCTGAATCAAAGCCAGAAGAAAGGGAGGGTCAGAATTCTTAGACCGAATGCCAAGGCCCTGAGACAGCCAGGAGGCCAGTGAGACCCAGAACACCAGAGTTCTAGGGGAAGCCCCACTGAACAGGCAGGGCTGGAATGGGGCAGCCTTAACACGAGCAGCCCCATAGTCTGGCATCTGGTCAAAGGGCAGACCAGTTGAGTAGTGTTCAACATGCCCACTGCCTGGCCCACAAACGCCAGGAACCTCCCTGCGGGGGAGCTAACTCCTTTTGGTTTGGAAGACAGGAGGAGTCCTCTTTTTGGCATCAGCGCTTTTTTTGGCGTCATCTTTTTTTGGAGTCATCTTTTTTGGCATGAGCTGTGTTCCCTGGATAGCTGGTATACTAACTGTTGTCTTTTGTTAACAACTTCGGCATTTGCCTTCCTTGCTTCAGGGCTGGCCGGCTTTAACTCCAAAAAGTCTGTTGTTAGGAGGGTTTGAAAGGAGTGGGGCGGGGAAGACCGGCTTCCGGCTTGGTTCAGTACAGGCCAGCTTCTGGTGCCCGGGAACGACTCCTGCTGGTAACCTGGAGCTAGTTTACCATTTGGTTCTGGAGGACCTGCCTTGGCACAAGCCAACATTGGTGTGCGTTTTGTGGCTGACAGGAATGAAGGATAAATATCTGGGAGTAGCTCCGCCTGAGGAAGGCTGGGACCGCCGCTGTGCCTCATTGCCCACGTGGTGGCAGTGTTGTGCCAGGCTGTGAAAGGGTTCCGATTTTTTCCTGGGGTGGAAAATGCAGGTCTGGAAGGCGGGCAAGAATGAAAGCAAGATTCATGCTTTCTGGGGAAGGAATTAAGCTGTCCAGATGAGAATCTTTCCAGCGAAGCCGAATGCCTGGGATGCACGGCAAACCCCAAGATACCTCCCCGCTGTACGAAATACCAGGGAGGCCGGCAACTGGCGTTATCTGTCTTTATGGCCGCCCCCTCTTTCTTTCCCAGCGATTGCATGAGATTCTCCGTCTGCTCCTCGCCTGCCGGACATTCTCGAACGACGCAATAAGGAGCCCATAAAAAGGTTCTGCTACTTAATTGAAACAGCCACACAAATCGCTTCCTTTACAATAAAGTACAATTTATGAACATTCGGGCCATTCCGGCGGGCTCTTTAATTGGGTCCACATTGGCCAGCTTAACCTCTGATGCCTTGTGGACATAAATTTCGACATTGTTACAGCCCGGAAAACTGCCGATTTTTCAGAAAACGAGGTAGAGGGAACGCTCGGGCTTTTTCCTCCCCTTCCTTCTCCTTCTCCCCTTTTGCTGCTTTGTGGCTGCTAAAGTGGATTTGTCGCTAATTGGGCCTGTCATGCTCCGTGTTTCATGGAATGCGCTGGGAGCACGTAGATGGAACAAGGCCTAGGAATGGTTGACTTGGATTTGGGCAAAGGCCCGCGTGGCCCAGAATTTGGCTTCCGGTACACCAGGCGTCCAAAGTCTCTTTTGGGCCAAGGGCCAAGTTCCACATGGGAGAAGTGGGCCCAGAGGCAAAAGATGGGCCAAGATGGGAGAGTATTGCAGCTTTGAGCTCTTCCTGCCTGCCAGAGTAGAAGGAAAGCCTGTTAAAAAGGGAAGAAAGCTGTGAGGCCAGCGACTGATCTGTGGGTGGGCGAAAAGGCCCCAGGAGAACACGGCACGGCATTCTGCGAGATTGCGGAAGCCGGTCCTGGGCCCCCGAGCTGGAGGTTCTGCATCCCTGCGGCACACGGTTCCTTCCTCACCACCAAGCAAAATTCTGCACTTTCCAGGTGAACAGCTTAGCTTGGGATCCTTTGGAGGGGAACTCTGACTGGAGGCCGGGCACTCCCACAGGTCACGGCCCCGTCATCCCCTTGCATCAGCTGTGCCGGGAGGGGATGATGGGCCTGGCAGTCCAGCCACACCTGGGGACACACTGCCTTTGGAGTCACCTTTGGGAGAGCTGAAGGGAGCTGAGCTGGTGTGAGGGCGTTCAGGAAAACGCCCGTGGTTTCTTTTGCTGTGTTTGAGCTTTTCTCTTGTGAATTCCAGGAAGTGCATGCTTTGCTTTGCTTCTCTTCGCTTTGCTTCCCCCAAGCATCCTGCAAGGCAGGCCAGGCCGGGAGCAAAGGTTGCTGGCCTGAAGGTCCCCAGGGACATGAGGGCCCTGGAAAGATTCTCATGTGCTCTCTACTCCCATTTCAGCATTTTGGTGGATGCTCCAAACATGATGCTCAGGAGGTGAGCTGCTCCTGGCTTTTCAAGCCGGGGCTCTCGCTTGTTGAGAGCAGCCGTTGGAACGAATGATGCTGCAGTCCAACACATCCAGAAAATACTGACTTGGAGGAAGTTGATCAAAGCTGGGTCGAAAGTGCTCTAATTGTTGAGGGGTTCTGGCTGCCTGTGGGGCTGCCCCCTTGGACTGCTGCAAACAACAGAGCCATGGTTTCAGATGGGAGTCTTAGAAAGATTTTATTCATAGCCGTTTCACTAAGCCGCTTGATGGACCATGCATCAGAATGCGAGGCAAACACACAACTCTCCCCTCTTTCCTCTGTCAAAGAAACAAATTGGGTCTTTTGCCTCTTTTCAAAGAAATAATGCAAAATGGTGCAAGTCTGAGAAACGTTTCTCTTTTTTCTCCCCACATCTATCCCCCGTCACCTTTACCCTGGGAAGGCAAAATCCGAACAAGGCTGGGAGATCCTCGGGACCACTGGCCACGGGAAAACCGAAGATGGCATTCCCCTTGTCAACTCCCTGGATTTCTGCTGGACGAGACCCTCCGTACTGGTACTCGGTCTGTAGCGTCACGGTCCTTCAGTGGATGGGGAGGGGTATATCAGCCTGGTGTAGCATCTAGCACTCCCACTAGATGGGTTTTGCTGGAGTAACTGCGTTTCTGCCATGTGCTTTGTCTTTTCAGAAGAAACCCAGCTAGCTCAGGTGCAGTTTGGCTGTGCATTGCAGAGAGGTTATAAGAAACGGGGGGATTCTTGGAATATTGAGGGGATGGGAAAATGCACATTTCATTTTTCCCCGTGGTTTTGCATGACTAAACTTGTACACCCTTCTGGGAAATCAGAAGGTGGTCAGTGGGCAGAATCGGTATATCCTGCAAAAAGCTGCTTTGCGCCAAAATTTGTAGGCCAGATTCCTAGAACCCCAAACACAGTCGAGTCCTTTGTTGAACGTATCTTTTTGCCCGCAGATGCATTTTCTGTTCATCTATAAAGTCATGTAATTGGCTTGTAAGATGGAGGTTCTCTGGATCTTGTCCCAAGCCCGGGCGAGAAGGCCCATCCATCCTCAGTCCTTTCCCACAAAGTCTGCGAGAGGCTTTCGCTTGTTCCGCTGCTCTGGGAGCACAGTTCTGCCGTGTGGTCCTGTTTGCTTGTCTTTCCTGGCTCATCTTTAATTGAAATGCTTATTGGATTTGGGAGGCTGACAGGATACTGCTGCCGCCGTGTAGGATCGGGGGGCTTTTACATCACAGAGACAATGGGAAGTTGGTCAGGGGAGGGAAATGAACGGCTGCAGAGAAATCCATTTGGAGCGCCGTGCAAGGCAGGAGCAGGGACGCGGGCGCAGTGGTGACAGTCAGCGCTGTTACTTTGAAGGATGGGGGAGTTTCTCGGCGAGAGAGTCCAAATATCTCTTTCACCAGGGGAGAGCTGAGGCTGATTGGTGGAGGTGCCTGAGGGTATGCCAGGCTTTCTCATCGGCGGTGGCACCGGCTCTCTGCTGAGCACTAACTCTTGGCAGGAAAGGAAATAGGACAGGGGCCACGGTCTGGAGATATTGAAAGAGATGCGCCTTCCATCAGATTCGTGGCGTGCTTGTCGGACTGATTCCAGTGCAGAAGGCATCGCTCAATCCATGTGCGTGGGGTAATCTGTCCCCATATCGGTCCCGTATATTCACTTTCTCAGGGCAAGATGGCCACTGCAGAGCCTGGTTAATTATGTTTTTCCTCCTTGCCGGAGACTTTGATCTCAGAATTATGCGGACAAGTCCTCTCTCATCAGCTCGTTACTCACCTGGGTGGGTCCGCACTGCTTCTGGGCCCCGGTGGGCCTTTGGGCAGGTGTAGCAACCTTTAAAACGAGAGCAGAAACTTTCACATGCACAAATAAAATAAAGTTTATTTATGTGTTTATTATGTTTCTATGCTGCCCTATAGCCCGCAGACTCTCTGGCCAGTTTACAATTATTAAAATTATATATACAATCAATATATGTTCACATTAAGTAACAATACAGCCATAAAACAAGGTAAATGGACAACAACACCACCATTTTAATAAATTAAGCCTCTGGAACAAGAACAGAGAATAAAACAATATGTATTTATTTAGTGGTTTTGTATACTGTCACAATAGCCATACAATATTTAAAACATCATTACAAATCTAGCTGTTAAAATAACTGGAAAATAAAAAGGTTCACCTGATGCCCAGAAGAAGGCAAGGACAGTGCCAGGCGTACCTCTTTGGGGGGCAGGTTCCAGAGATGGGGTGCCAGTGCTGAGAAGGCCCTTCTCCTGGCTGGTACCCCCTCCCTTTTTTAGGCAGGTCCCTAAGAAGGACCTCAGTGGATGATCTTGAAGGTCAGTGAAGAATGTATGGGCTGAGGCATTTCTTTAAATAACCTGACCCCAAGCTGTTCAGGGCTTTAAATGTGCTTTAAATAATAGTGCCAATAGAATGTTATTTCTGATTAAAATCGTGATTTTCGTATTCAGGAAGTGAAGGCGATGGACTTTCTCCAGAGACTAGACGTTTGTGCCATAGAATGTTGACCATCTCTCCAGGGAGAAAGCTTCCGCCCGGGATAGAGTCCTTAAACGTGTCCGTTGCGGCGGGTAAGGGTTTTCTCTGGCATCCACTCATTTCTTGGTATGTGTCTATATACGTTTGCCGTTGAGAAATTCTTCAGACATCGTTTCTCCTTCTGTTTTTTCCTTCATTTTTTTGCAGGAATTCTTCTGCATTCCATATGCAGCCAAAAGAAAAGGCACCACGAGGATTTAATTTCTATTGCAGACACGAAGGCATAGGCAGATAAATTGCAGAAAATCTCTGTCAAGAAACATTCTGGTCCAGAAAGTATTGCTGTACTTTCTGGCAGCCGGAGAACTTTCTTGAAGTTGAGCAAGAAGAAAGAACTACTTTGGAAGAGGGATCTCTGGAAAGTAGCCAACCTCGTCTTGCTTAGGCATTGGGTATTCTTTGGACTTTTAGATATGTGTAGTATCCGATCCTACTAAACATTTTTAAGGGTACTTCCTTGTAGCCAAGATTCACACAAGTTTTGAACTGTGCCAAGAGTTGCACAGAACTGGTCTGAATACAAGCTGCAAATCTCTGCTCCATTTCACGGGCTTTATTATTTGAACTTTTCCTTTTATTTTGAACGTTGGCTGAAGGAAATGAAATGCATTGATAGAAAATGCGGAATACATGGCTCAACAGGATCACAAAGGAAAAAGACCTTACAGTTGCTGTGGACAACAAGCTAAATACGAGCTGGCAACATGATGTGGCTGCAAAAAGGGCAAATGCTATATTGGGATGCATTAATTGGCGTATCATTTCCAAATTACAAGAAGCCATAGTTTCTACTCCTCATTAGTCCGACCTCAGCTGGAATACTGTGTCCAGTTCTGGGCACCAAAATTTAAGAAAGAGGCAATAACATTGGAAAGGGTTCAGAGGAGGCCCACAGGGTTTGGGAACACTGTCCTATGAGGAGACACGGAGAACTGGGAATGTTCAGCCTTGGGAAGAGAAAACTGGGGGGGGGGACATGATATCCCTCCATAAGTACCTCAAAGGCTCTCACAAAGGAAGATCAAGATCTCTTCTTGCTAATTCCAGTAGGAACGTGTGTCTTTCGCTGTTGCTTTCACGAAGATTTCCTCAGTGTTGTTCTTCAGTGTGGAGCCCAACGGAGATGCGAGTCTTTGAGCAGGCTCAGCTTGTGCTGTAGCGAGTCGGCCCGAGTGTGGAGCTGGCAAAATGGAATCTGGGAGGCCAAGCCATGAAAATCGGTCAGAATTTCTCACCTCTCCTGGATTCCTTGCACTTCCTAATGACAGATGGTACAATTTTCCCTTGCTTTGAGTTAGGAAGGAAGGAAGGACCAGTAGGTGGTGCTGCTGATACATATTTTTGGGTTTGCTTTCTTGGGAAGAAAAAACGAGGTTGGAACAAGCGGCTACAATACCCCTTGTTGGAACGAAGAGATGAGTCTGAAACTCATTTCTTTATCCTTGGGATACATATCCATATATGTATGCATGGATAAATATATATTTCCCTACATATTCTACATGGCAATCCCACTTTGAAATACACAGAATGCATTTTCGAGGGCTTAAGGATTTCATCTTGCTTGGCTATGCCCAGGGATTGCTTTTCCTTCGACGCTGGGCCGCTTCTCACAACCAGATCGGACCCGCTGAGTTGTGGGTCTTGCAGAACCCATCTTTCATCGGGGCGTGTGGCAAACTGCTTTCCCAAAGGCTGCCTTGCTGTGGACACCATTCCATTTCCTGGCTGGCTGAAAGAGTCTAGGCTATTAAATTCCCAGTCTGTGCTTCCTCATAAGATCGCTTTGCATGAGCACATTAAAAAACCCTTCCCATTCAGCCGGTTATTCCAGGTCAAAATGGCCAACACATGATTCTGCATCTCCTGGCTCTCTGTAGCTGGTCCATTACCTGGCCGTTTCTCAGTGCCTTCATCTTTCTTGTGCAATCCTCTCCTGGTACACACAGCAGAGAAATCTTTGTCCCAAAGTGCTCCCAGTCTAAAATTCAGCACGACCACAATAAAGGGAAGCGTCTTTTGTCTCCTTCCCTCTACCAATAGTACTTGCTCTGCTGTTTCTGGATTTCACTCCAAAATGCCCACTGAAACTTACCCATTTTCAGATTAGCTTTGAATGTGAGTTGCTTCTCCAGCTCAAAGAAAAACCCTCCAGATCTCTGGAAAGATCAGGAGGAGTTTGGCCTCGGTGGGACCTCTTTTCCTCACGAGGCTGTAGGCTGAACTTCAGGGGAGCTGTCCGTGGTACTGTGCTCAAACGACAGCAAAATTCTGCACTGATCCACAGTTGCTGGAGCTTCCAGCCTCGGATGCTTGGAAGACATTCCTGCTTCCCAGCCAGGTCTGGAGTTGGATTTTACTCTGGAGGCAGAGCAGTGAGGTGAGTGCTTGCATGGCATGTGGAAAGCCCCCCACCCCCCGACAAATGCCATTAGCAGGGGCAGGTGGCAGGTGAGTCCTTTGGAAATCGTGCCTCATCCTGGCTTCCAGTCGTTGCAAGCAATACAGAACTAGTTGGCCCCATAGTTGGGCTGAGTCTAAAACACCACTCCCCCCCCCACAGTTAATTTCCTGGGTATTCTTAAATGTCAAAGATTTATTCTTATAACCCCCCCTTCTCCTTTCTGTTTTGCCCTTGAGCCTGAATATAATTGTCCTTGTAATGTAACTGTAAAAATAAACGTAAAATTAAAACATCGGTCTCCCGGCTCCGCATCATAAAGGAGAACATTAATTGTCACTTTTGTGTACATCAGCAAGATCAGAAACACGCTTTCTGATTACTTGTGTTTTGTACATAGCCGTCCTTTGATACCCGGCGAAGAAGTAACAATTCTCGGATGGTAATTTGAGAGTCGCTCTTGTCATCCCTGTTGTCTCGTCACGGATTCATTTCAGGACCCCCTTGACGAGAAGCAAGCAAACAAAACCCCAATCTAAATGTTTTCGGGTGTTATCCTTTGTTTTGCTTTTGCAATTTCTTCCTTGAAAAGCTGCTTCTGTCGTCAAATCTCTTTGAAGACCTAACTCGTATTAAAATTCTTCCTTTATTGGAAGGAATCTCTTGATGTCGCTGGTGTTGCTAAAGGCACAGAGGGTGAGAAGGCCTGGGCCTCTCCTCCTCCCACTGCGTGGCGTGGGCCAGAGCAAGAAGAGGGCGGACAGAGATGTTGCCGAGTGCAGGAGAAGCAACTCCGGGGACCTCTTGCTCGGGTCCCTGGCGTGTGCCCAGCCATCCGCATCCTGGATGAAATTCCTTTTCTCAAATTATTTCCTCCTCTTAGTGATATTCCCTTGGCCCAAATTATAGATCACCATCTGTGTTTTGGCAGCCGCATCACATGGTGATGACGATTCCGTTTGCCATCAAGCACAACTCCAAGATGCTGTTTGGATGGACGGCTGCCAGGCCTTTACCAGGGAACCCTCTGCTGTTGCCAGAAATGGGCACTGGAGAATTTTAGAAGACCTCCTTGTTTGAAAAGATTTTGCCTCACAAGCAGGACAGGAAAATAAGAGGACCTACCTGCGTGGGGTCTCCAACTCATCTTCTGAAGCCTCTTGATCTTGGAGGTGGCATCTGGCCATTGCTACCTCTTAGGTAGACCTCATTCCATCCTCTTTTGCATTAATCTGCATTTTTTAAAAAAAAAATCTGCCCCAAATGGAACATTTTCTCAGCAAATACACATGTGCATCTAAACCCAAGTCCTCGTCTTGAAACATCCCAAAACCAGTCATTTAAGCGTACTTTGAATTTGCTTCTTTCCATTGATGCAATGGACACGCCATTAAGGAGCAGTTCTGTAGGAGATTAATAGACCACCAAGAGCCGAATTGCAAAATTTGGAGCAACATAAATGCCAAAACTTGGCTTTGATCGGATGGTCCCTTCCAAACTGGCTCAGATAAAATTCCCGACTGTCTCCGAATTTTCAAAACCAGCCGTGCCCAGTCCGAGATTTGGTGTTTGTTTTGCCTTTGGGCTGCAGCTTTGTAAAAAGTTCACGCTTTAAAAACCGGGTTGTAACTCATTATTTTTCTCCCGCCCACATCAATTTAAGTATATATGAATCTCCACACAGGCTGTTTGAACTGAACCAAACGGTACCTTTGGGTATCTCGCGGAATCCTCCAGCCGCGCCAAAGCGATAATCGGCGTTTGTAAATGTAATCAACGTTGAGGTCTTGTTACTTTCACAGGTGCAATTAACATTACCATCTGCTAATCCATGATTAACGATGTTTACAAATATGCTACAACATGTTAAAAAAACACAACAGAAATGTTGGCGCTTCTTTCGCGTCTCCCCCTCCGCCGCCCGCCTCGCTTGCGCGTGTCCCATTAAGGAGCGGAAGGCACTGGGACTTTTTCCCGACGGAGGGTGCCCCCTGCCCCGCTGTTAATTCGCAGAACAGTTTTTTGGTGTGTGTTGCTTTTGTCATTTAAAAGTGCTGCTAAGTGCTATGCCCAGCTGCAGCCATGACAGGTTTGAAGCTGTGGGTCAGCACCGCTAAATGGAACCTAATTGCCAAGGAATCGAGGTGCCAACTGCGAACTGGAGGGGGGAGATTAGAACTTTGTTGGAAGCGACATATGGCAAGCTTGAAAGGGATTTTTTTCCTTTTTTTAAAAAAAACTCATCTCCCCACGTAAGTGATGTGTTAATGAACTGGCAATGCTCGCCCCCCCCCCCCCAATGATGTGTTGAAAGATTGTCTGATGTGGTGAAGGAATATCACGATTTCTTAATTGGAGGAGTGGCATTTCCCTTCATATCCACAAAATATCCCCAAGAAGTAATGGGGCTCATTTCTCTTCGTATCCCCGTAACATCTCCAGAAGATTCCTCCTCGTCAGGTTTATGGGCTGGTCCAATAGATTTCAGCCCGTAAAAGAGTCTTTCAGAATGAAATCATTTATAGATGTTTCTTTATTAATTAATCATAGAATAGTAGAGTTGGCGGGGGCATGAAGACCATTGAGTCCAACCCCCTGCTGTTGCAGGACACCAGTTTACACCATCCCACTCAGGGGGCTGCCCAGTTTCCCCTTGAATGTCTCCAGTGTGGGAGAGCCCCCCACCTCTCCAGGCAGCTGGTCCCACTGCCGTATTGCTCTGAAAGTGAGGAAGCTTCTGATGCCCAGCCTGAATCTGGGTTGCTGCAGCTTGACTTGATTCTTCCGTGTCCTGCACTCTAGCATCAGCAAGACGAGATCTGGACCTTCCTCTTTGTGGCAGCCCTTGCGGTCTTTACAGAGGGATGTCACGTCCCCGCTCAGTCTTCTCATTGCTTCTCTTTTGAAAAGAATCCCAGGATTTGAATCCTTGGCAGGCCCCATCCGTACCAACCTTTCACTCCGCCCACTGTTGGAATATGGCCCCCAAGTCCTTCGCCCAGGGGAATTTGGTCCCCAGGCTAGAAAGATTCCCCACCTCTGGCATCAAGGTGACCTCGGCCCAGCTGGTTCTTCACCTGGATTGGCTCTCCAGGTGTCCCCTCCACCAGGGTCTTTGCTGTTGTCCAAGCAAGAGCGGCT